CTTCATAAGCATTATTCTGCAGTAAACTTCAGCATTTCTAATTCTCCTTGGCATCTGCCCTTCAGAGGGCCTAAACAGAGACTTCGGTCACAGGAAAAGCAGGCCTTGAGGTTTTTTTCTCCCATCCTGAATAACATCTCCTGCACACACTGCTTCCCCTTTCTACCAGCTCAGGCGCGCCCCCTCAAGCGACAGCTGTGCCCTTTAGGACTGTTTACCTTTGCCAGTCATGTGGTCTTTTGCCATTTACTTTCCCAACAGAAACACCAACCTTGAGCAGACTGGAAACAGCAAATGTGTCTTTAATGAATCAAAAGCAAATATAAAAAGCCAAGGAGGTAGCAAAGTCTACCTCAATTGGAAATTAGCAGAGAGAGAGAGAGAGAGAGAGAGAGAGAGAGAGAGAGAGAGAGAGAACACATGAGCTCACATGTCTTTATTTTCATTGTAGAAAGTGGCAAGTAACTCAAAATTTAAAATATAGTTCTCTGAATTTTAATAATTAATAGAAATACATAATTTTATCTTTTCAACTCTCATGCCTGCCCCAAAATTCCTAGATCATTTAGCAAGTAACAGAATAGATTCACCTGTTTTCTTTCCCTTCTACCTTCATCAGTAAAAGTCAAAGTTGAGGGTGGGGAGCTGGATATGAATAAATTGAATAAGCCACAGAGTCCTCAGTGTTTAATCAAGTAGTTGCTACAATTGAGTCATTGACTTGTTTTGTTTTCCAAGTGATTTATGCAACTTACTTATGATTTACTCCATTTTATTTACCTGGAAAGTCATAGAAGACAGTGAGTAAAACATGCACAGCTGGTTCTGACCAAGTTGTCTGCTTGCAGACAAGCAAAAGACTAAAACTCCCGGAAAACTCTTTGCACCAATGGAGTCTAAGGTCAGGAAATTATTTTTTAATTATTGAAAGAGGCTTAATGCTATTTATTGACTACCACTAAGTATATAAATTCTATTCACTTTGGCTTGAAATGTAAAAGGTGAGATAGCCCGTAGAGACTTCATCCTCAGGGAGCCAGAAATACTGAAACAGTTGTTGAATCT